CACTAACAATTAAAAAGGGTCAGACGATTGTGTAAGGGACGAAACCTCTTGAGACAAAGTCCCAAAAAGGGGTGTTCTTTTATTGGCGATGGACTTTACAATTGGGAATGAAAAACAACGTGCCTCCAAGGGGCGCAAGCACACGAGTTACAGAAAAATGTTTAAGTCTAAAAGTTAAGGAAATGAAAATTACATATTCTCTGTTCGAGAGTTTTGGATTCGGTCCTTTGCTTCTGCGTCCTTTCTCCCTTTTATACCTCCTAGACGATCTCTTTGTGATTAACTACCCTGAAAACTGCTTGATCGTCCTATAACTTCCCACTTTCTTTATAGTGGCAATTTTGTCATGAAACTGCCTCTTAACTGCTGCCATTATCTTTCATCGTTCAACCGCTTTCGATTGAATTCCTTGAGTCGTGGAACGTGATAATGCTACTTTAACAACTGCCTTGATAACTGCATTCCTTGATAACCACGATGCGTTATATTTGTTGATACCTTGGGCGACTTGAAGGTTTGGGCGAGAATGGAATAACAGCTCTGGGCGACCGTATGACACCCCATTTGTTCAGATTCTGGGCGACTCGCAAACTTGGGCGATGGCGTCACCGCATTCTTGGGCCCCTTATTTGGGCCTTCACCCTAATTCGTTTGATTGGACTTCGTTCTTTGGGCTATCCGATTTGGGGATCCTTCAATTGGACTTTATTCCTTGGACTGTTCGATTTGGGCTGAATTTTTATGTGTCAACAGAATCAAGATCTGGAATTAATCAAATGATAGAAGTATTCTTCTTTGAGCCCATATGTGCTTAATTATAACAACTGCAGAGCATAGTAAATTAATCTAGCAAAGATCCATTTTGTAATTTTTATCAAGAAAAGTTCTTCTTCTTCTTCTTCTTCTCTATTATTATTATTATTATTATTATTATTATTATTATTATTATTATTATTATTTTAAATGTCTACAAACTAGTTTCAAATAATAAGAATGTCTTATTCTATTGTAGAGAGTTTTAAAATATGCTGAACACAATCATTCTAGATTGTTTCAGGTAAGAAAATGTAGGATAATATAGAAGGTTGTAAATCAAGCTATACGTGGCATAATGTAACCAAGAGTTTTAAAATGTAACCTTAGTCGTTTAAAAATTTTAATGCAAGAGTTGTATAGTTTCTCATTGAGTGCTTTTTGTATTATTCTGCAATTTACCCTTCTTTTTTCTCTCACTTTGCATGAAGGTAATGAACGCAACCAACAATTCTTTATTGCACTACTTAAACCCAAACCTAAGTTTCTAAAAGGTTGCACTTTTGATAGCAAATGCTGGCACAAAAGAAAATGTAAATTTCATTGATATGGAAATAATATCAATAGCAAAAGTAAAGAAAAAAATAATAATAAAATTAAATGAGTACTTAACAATATCAACAAATTGAGTGGAAT